ACCCGAGCGCGCGAGCCGCTGCTGTTGCCCTGCATTCAACCGTCTGGGGACCCCCGTGTGCCCGCACCAAAGGTCCTCCTCCTCCTCAAACAATACCGACGCCGCCAGCACTCCCCAGACCTCTCCCAGGGCGCGTTCTGACCAGTATTGCGAGGCAAATCGACAGCGGTGGCGACGAGGGCCTCCCGGGAGGCCAACCAATGGGAAAACGAGGCCAGGGTATAGCGGTACGGGTACAGTGTCCCTCCTCCGACTCTTCCCGCGCCGGTCTCCGCCCTCCGATCCCTCGCCGCCTCCGCGAGGAGTGGGCCGTGAGGAATAGGAGGCGCAGCGAGGGCTGCACAGAAGAGGCCCCCGAGGGCCCAGAAGGGAGCCTCCAGGGCCCGAGATGGGCACCTGTCTGAAAGGTCTTTAGAACCCACCCCATTCAACCCTGAAAGGTCTTTCGACCCCCCCCCCCCCCCCATAGTGGGTAACTGACACTTCGTTCGGAGGCCTCATTGAGGGACTGGGGCCCCACCAAGAGGGGGGCAACTCATTATTTGATTCCGCGGTACCCGCCGAGGAGGAGGATGAGGAGGAGGAGGAGGAGGTTTAGGACCAGCCTTCATTCACCGCCGAGAGAAAAGGGGGGAACCAAAACTGAAGACCCTCAGCAGTCATCGCCCCCGCCCCCCCCCAAGCAGCGACGCCCAGGGGAGCCCGCGTCCAGCAGCTCCGGGGGCGGCAGGGGCAGCAGCATCTGCGCCGCGGCGTTGGCGGCCTGCGCTCGAGACGCCGCGGGGGCACCACCCTCCCCCCCTCCCCCGCCGCGGGTCAGGGCTCGAGCTCTAGGCAATGCTTTTCGTTTCCTGTTTTTGTTTTGTCTTCCTCGTTCTGTCTTCGCTCCTCGGAGGCCACATGCGAACCCTACCCCCCCACGACTGCGAGCGAGGGTGGGGCCACTTCGCTCGGGAGGTCCCGAGCGAAGTGAACCCCACCTCCCCCCCCGAGAAGAGATCGTGCGGTGGCGGGGCAGGGTAGGGCTCGCATGTGGCCTCCTAGGACCGTCTCTGCTGCAAACCCAGACCCCCGACGTCATGATTTTTCCATGACGTCGACCCCCAGAGGTCCCGACCCTTTCCCCATGACCGCCTTTGCATCCTGAGTCGTTTTTTGACGCCCCCGAGGCCCGGTGAGGGCCCCCGGTGGCCGAAAGTGAAGCCAAACCTCCCGTCATGAATTTTTCATAACTCGAGGGGGTCTGGGAACGGAGCCGAAACGCAAACGGCCCGCGGCGTCGCCGGCGAAAACGTCGTGGGGCTCGGGCCCCGCGGGGGCAGAGGCGAGGCGAGGCGAGGCGAGGCGGGCGCGCGACGTCGGTGCGAGGCGGCCGGGCTGGGGGGGGGGGGTCGGCCGGACTCGGCCCCGCGAGGGCAGCGGGGGGGGGGCGGCCAGGGCTCCTCCTCCTCCTCCTCCTCCTCCTCCTCCCCTCCCTCCTCCTCCGCCGTCCCTGTTCTCCTGTTCCTCCTGCTCCTCCTGCTCCTCCTCTCCTCCTCTCCTCCGCCTCCTCCTCCCACTCCTTCCTCCTCCCTCCTCCACCGTTTCCTCCTCTTCTCCTCCTCCTCCCCCTTCTCCTCCTCCTCCTCCTCCTCCTCCTTTTCCTCCTCCTCCTCCTCTCCCCCTCCACCTCCACCTCCACTCCTCCCCTCCTCCTCCTCCTCCTCCTCCTCCTCGCTCTCCTTTTTCCTCCCCCTCCGTAGCCATTTTTGGCTCAATAGCCGCGTTCAGCGAGCAGGCGACGCGGGGGCCCGACTCGCGGGCCCGAGGTTAGGAGACCCAGACCCCCACCTGTCCGTGCGCGGCAACTCCCGAAAACAATCAGAACAAAACCCACCAAGCAAAAACAAACAAAAAAAACCCAAAACCTCCCATCAAACGAAAAGCCAAAAAAATCCGCAAGTGTTGCATGATGTTCGGCCTCTGGGGGCCCTCCTCCTCCCCAGACCCCCTCGAGTAACGAAAAAATCAGTATGGAAGGACTTTCTGAATTTTCGGCCTCCGGGGGCCCTCGCCGGGCCTCGGGAGCGTCAAAAAACGACTCAGGATGCAAAGCCGGTCATGAGGAAAGGGTCGGGACCCCTGGGGTCGACGTAACGAAAAAATCATTACGTCGGGGGTCTGGGTATCGGTCCGGGCGAAAGGGGGGGATAGCAAAGGGGGGGTTTGGGAATCAGCTCACGTAGCGGAATTTCCTGGCACCTCCCGGCGTCGGGAGGCGCCCCCGTATCGAGGAATGGGCCCCTCGGCGAGGCCGAAACCAGCTGCATGCAGCAAATGTTGTAACCCCCCCTTTCCCACCCCCCCCCTTTCGTCCGGCCCTCCGCCTCGGGCCTCGGGACCGTCAGAAAAACGGCTCACGAGGAGCAGCTGGTCCCAGGGAATGGGTCCAGAACTCTGGGGGCCGACATTCTGACAAAAATCACGACGTCGGGGGCCTGGGGACGGGGCTGCGAGTTTGCGTGCCGTTGTCGTCGTCTGAGCAAGCATCTGAAGGGGCCCCGGGACACGCAGATAAATACACACAAAACAAGAAGATTCCCCATATGTTCCTATATTTTCTGGGTTTGTGACTTCCCCACCACTTCCCATATTCTCCCATAATTTCTGGGGAGTCGACGATTCATCGTGTCTGTGTGCTTCTTCCCCTCCTGAGCATCGGCCTCCAAGTGACCGTTTTCGTTGTTCTCTCCGGGGTCACGGCCGTTACCAGGGAGGGAGAGAGGGGGGGGGGGGGGGGCGGGCAGGAGGATATCAGTGACGGCGGCCGCGGCTTGCACCCGCCAGGGTGCGTCCATGCCGCCGGCGCAGCAACCCTATGCGCCACAGCATGTGTAGGGAGATGCCCAAGCCACTTCCGCAGCACGATCGTCAGCGTTGCCTGAGGGGGGGGGGGGCAGGGTGGTTTGGCCCAGAACACGAGCGTTACCCTGGGAGGAAGCCAAAGCGCTCACATGGCTCTACCCCTCTCTTGGGGGCCGCTGCCCCCATGTTTGAGCAGGGACCGATCCGTCCCAGCACTCCCATCGTCATACCATGAAGCGTTCCTAGAACCCCCCAAGCGTTCTAACAACAAGAACACATGTTCTTAGAACATAACCCGATGTGTTAAGAGTTGAAGCAAGAACAGTCCCAGCCAGAATGTTCTAAGAACATTTCGTGAGAACCCCGAAAGGTTCTTAGAACATTGTTCGGTGGGGCTATAGGCGGCCAAGGACGCTTCGCCACTGCTTGAAGGCAAAGCGCTCACCACTTGCTCCACACCGCTCTCCAGGAGATGAGCGAGTAGGAGGAGTAGGGAAGGCTGAGTAGGAGAGGGAGGACTGAGGGGGATGAGGAGATGGGGGGAGGAGGGGGAGGGAAGGAGGAGGAGGATGGAGAGGGGAGGAGGAGGAGGAGGAGGAGGGGGGGGAGGAGGGGGCCCACACGTGGAGGGGTGGCGGAGGGGCACGACGCAGGGCGCTCCCCCACCCAATGCGACCGAGCGCTCGAGAGCCAGGCGGGCAGGGGCCACTCACAAGAAGATGTCGTCTTCTCGCCTGGGTCGCCGGCGGCGGCCTGGCGGCCTCGACGACGACGATGGCGACGACGACGACGACGCCAAGGGCGGCGACGACGACGACGACGACGACGAGGACGAGGACGAGAGCGTAGACCAGGACGAGGACGAGGACGACGAAGGCCTCTCAGGGGGCTGGAGGCCTCTCAGAAGATCGGACGCCTTCCGAGAAACCCCGCCGCCTTCGGAGAAGGCCTCATCCTTCTCGTGTTCCCCCGCGCTCGCCGCCGAGGATTACCTTCCCCTGTGGAACTTCTCCTTCTCACCAGACCCCCGACGTCGTGATTTTTGCATAACGTCGACCTTCAGGATTCTCGACCAATTCCCCGGGACTGGTTTCTCATCCTGAGTAGTTTTCTGAAGGTCCCGAGGCCCGGTGAGGGCCCCGGCGTAGGCCGCAAGAAACGAAAAACAGTCGGCCATGATTTTTTCATGACCCGAGGGAGTCTGGGTCATTTCCCCTCGCATTCGCCGCCAAGGATTGCCGTTCTCTGGAACTTCCAAGGTAAACCGATCCAAGGGGGGGGGGGGGCGGGCCGGCTGACCCCAGCCCCCCCTCTCATCCCGCGCACGTTCCTCCCTCCTTCCCCCCCAGAACTCCAAATGCCTTTCCCCCCGCAACGCCCCTCCCAGTCCTATCCACACCTCTCGTCATGAAGAAACACCATGGCGGAAGTCTAGTCGCTATTTTCGCCTCGGGGAGAACCTCGACCCGGCCTCGAACTCATCAAAAATTTACTCGAGATGAGAAACCGGTCCACAATAAGGTCTAGCAAACAACAAGCACGAACACATACCTAAAAACACCAAAAAAACACAAACCGACGTACAATAAAACATCATAAGTCGCCATAACACAAAAACAGCCAAGTGGGAATGGGTCGAGACCTCTGGGGCCGACGTCTCGAAAAAATCATTACGTCTGGGGTCTGGGTACTCCCCATGACCTCCAAGATTATTTTCCCCCGCACCCCTCCTCCTCCCATCAGCGGGCCCTGGAATCGACACGGTGCTGATTTGTTAATTACGGGTCCAATTTTGCCGTTTGCTGGCCGATTCGGGCGCCGTTTTTGTTTCCAATTCCGTCGCCGTTTATTTGCCAGTTCCGGCTCCAGTTCCAATGCCGGATCCGTTTTTTCGGCCGCTTTCAATTGTGTTTTTTACCGTTCCCTTTTTCAGAAGACCCTTTTCAGAAACGGTGAAAAAACAACCCTAGTCCTTCTCATCCCGTGCAACCCTCCCCCTACTCCCCAGAACCTCCAAGATCCCTTCCCCCCCGTACCCCTCCTCCTCCTCCTCCTCCTCCTCCTCCTCCTCCTCCTCCTCCTCCTCCTCCTCTTCCTCCGCCTCCTCCTCCTCCTCCTCCTTCTCCCTTCCTTCGTGCAAGAAGGGGGATGGGTACCTGCCGCTGCGTCGAGATCTGGAAGAAGTCCAGGAAGGTAAGGATGGCCTGCGGGCGCGTCTGGGAAGCCCGAGGAGAGGCCTGGCATTCCCAGGCCTCTCTCTCCCTCCTCCCCTCCTAGACACCCGACGCCATGATTTTTCCGTAAACGTCGACCACCAGAGGTCTCGACCCTTTCCCCATGACCGGCTTTGCATCCCGAGTCGTTTTGTTGAAGCTCCCGAGGGCCAGTGAGGGCCCCCGGAGGCCGAAAATTAGGAAAAGCCTCCCGTCATGACTTTTTCATTACTCGAGGGGGTCTGGGTCACCAGGCCTCGGGATCGTCACAAGACGACCAGGACCGCTGTGTCGTCCTGAGTCGTTCGTTCTGCTGACGGTCCATCATTGAAGGGGCCCTGATGCACACAAATAAATATACGCAGATGAACATAATCCCCATAGTTTCCAATATTTCGGGTTTTTTTTGGTCTCCCCCCCCACTTCCCATATTTTCCCCATCTTTTCTGGGGACTCGACGACTCATTGTGTCTGTGTGTTTCCTTTCCCTCCTGCAGCATGGCAGGAGCACCTGCCGCCGCGACTCGCCTCCCGTGGCCCGCGGGGGCCTGGGCCCCTCCGCTCGGCGGCGCGCGGAGGGCTTCTCAGCAGGAGGCTGCTCCTTGGAAGGAGGCTCCTTCTTAATGCGGGATGACGATTAAGAAAACAAAGGAGAGAGAACGATTAAATAGTTTCCTGCTGAATTCTGCACCCTTTTCTGACTGGAGGAGAACGATTAAAGAAATAGTTTTCCAGCCCGTGGCCGGTTTTTTCTAATCGTCATCCCGGGCGCCGCCGCGTGAACACGACCCCCGGTCATTTATCAATCGTCATCCTCCATGAGAAGGCTTCGTAGAACCCAGACCCCCTCGAGTACTGACAAAATCAGGGCGGGAAGTTTCTCTGAATTCTCGGCCTCCGGGGGCCCTCACCGGGCCTCGGGAGCGTCAAACAACGGCTCGGGATGCAACGCCGGCCATAGGGAAAGGGTCAGGACCTCTGGGGGTCGACATATATAACCAAAAAAACATTACGTCGGGGGTTTGGGAAGGAGGCTTCTTAGGGGGAGGGGGAAGGCTTCTCAGAAGGAGGCTGCTCCTTGGAAGGCGCCGGCCTTCCATCTGCAGAGAAGGCCCGCGCCCTCTGAGAGGCAGGGGCGCTTCGAAGAAGCCTCCCCCCCTCCCCCCATACTGCGGGATGACGATTAATAAAAAAATGGGAGAGAAAGATTGAACAAATAGTTTTCTGCTATTTCTGCACAATTTTCTGACTGGAGGAGAACGATTCAAAAAATAGTGTTCCAGCCTGCGGCCGGTTTTTTCTAATCGTCATCCCGGGCGCCGCCGCGTGAACACGACCCCAGGTCATTTATTAATCGTCATCCTCCATTACCCCCCCTCCGCGCGTGGCTGCTCCTCCCTCCCCAGACCTCCAGCACCCAATCGGGAGAGGGGGCCGACTCGGAACGAACGCGCAGGAGCGGGCCACATCGGCACGGAGCCGCAGCCGAGTGCGGACCAGCCGCACGCCAGGCTGCACAGCGGCGCCGCGCCTGAGCACAGCGGGCCGCGCTGGACCGTCGGAGCAGCGGAGTTCGAATCGGCGAGGGCCGGCTGAGGTGGACATCGAGCCGGACCGATCGGATCCAAACGAGCGGCGACCAAACCCAGACCCCCTCGGGTAATGAAAAAACTTGGCGGGAGGTCTTTCCGGATTTCCAGCCTCTGGAAGCCCTTGCCGGGCCTCGGGGCCTAGGCGACTCAGGACGAAAAGCCGGTCCCGGGGAATGGGTCTAGACCTCTGGGCGTCGCGTCAGAAAAATCATGACGTCGACCCCCAAAGATCTCGACCCATTCCCCGGGACCGATTTTTCATCCCGAGTCGTCTTTTGACGCTCCCGAGGCCCGGCGAGGGCCCCCCGAGGCCGAAAATTAGGAAAAACCTCCCGTCATGATTTTTTCGTTGCCCGAGGGGATCGGGGGTCTTGGATCGAATCGGATCGATCGGATCCGAAGGAGCGACGATCCAAAACGGGTCTTGCGCGAGACGGCACAGCGACCTCACGCCGCGGCCTACACGGGCCGCTGGCGCGCCACGCCACGCTGGAGACGAGGCCGCTCACGCGCGACCTCGCGCGGGCACCTCGCGCGCCCATGTCGGCGCCATTGCGTCCGTTTTCCCAGACCCCCTCGGGTAATGAAAAAATCACGACGGGAGGTTTTTCCTAACGTTCGGCCTCCGGGGGCCCTCACCGGCCCTCGGGAGCGTCAAAAAACGACTCGGGATGAAAAACGGGTCCCGGGGAAAGGGTCGAGATCTCTGGGGGTCGACGTCATGAAACAATCATGACGTCGGGGGTCTGGGTTCGTGCGTCGCTCACATCCTAGACATCCAGCCGCTCCAATTTTGTTCGATGCGTGGGCCCTGGAGGTCTGGGACCACTTCCCGGGGGGCGGTGTTTCGTCCTGGGTCGTTTTGTTGACGCTCCCGAGGCCCGGCGAGGGCCCCCAGAGGTCGAAACCTGGCAAACTTCCGCCGCCCCAAGGTTTGTTGGAGCGCCGGATCTCCTGGATGGACCCTGAGAAGGGGGAGGCTAGGACGAGGTCGAGAACGACGACGACAAGGGTGGAAGTACGAGGACGAGGAGGCCGACGACGATAACGCCGACATGCAAGAGGCCGCGGGCCTCCGCGAGAGGAGGAAGCAGACGAAATAATTACGCGCCCCCAGTTGAGCAGGGACCGACCGTCCCGGCATTCCTATAGTCATACCACGAAATGTTCTTAGAACCCAACAGTGTTCTAAGACCAGAGGAATGTGCTTAGACCATGAGCCCGATGTGTTAAAGAAAGACAGTCCCAGCCAGAAATGTTCTAAGAACCTTTCGTAGGAACCACAAAAGGTTCTTAGATCATTAGGCGAGCCAAGACGCTTCGCCACTGCTTGACCCAGGGCGGCGCCTGCAGGCCGCCGGCCTTGAGCACCTGCAGGGGCTGGTCCTCGGGGGCGGCCGCGCTCGGAGCGCCCAGTCGGGGGGGGGGTTCGGGGTCCTCACGCGTCTTCCCTGCCCACGAGGAGGTGGGGGGGGAGGAGGAGGAGGAGGAGGAGGAGGAGGAGGAGGAGGAGGAGGAGGAGGAGGAGGAGGAGGAGGAGGAGGAGGAGGAGGAGGAGCAGGAGGAGGAGGAGGAGGAGGAGGAGGAGGAGGAGGTAATTTCCCCACGCGCACAGGTCAAAGCGCGTGACCCGCGACTGCCTGCGAAAAAACCAAATTATAAAGGGCCCAGCGCTGCTGCCAGCAGCGCCAGGGGAAGGCCCTGGCTCCGCTGGGCAGGCAGCCGCCGGGGAAGACTGCGCTGGAATGCCGGCCGCCTCGAAAAATGCAAGCTCCTCGTACCGTGACAACGCGTGTCCCCTCAGTCTCAGTCCCCTCAGCCACCCACCTGAGGCCTCGGCCGCGCTTAGCCGTCGCCTCGCGCGTTGCTCTGTTCTACTTTTCCCGCATTTCCTCTGCCTAATTCGTCTCTGCGTAGCCCGCTTTGACCTGACTCGCCACCGGCGCGCTCGCCCGCGGCCGCTGACTAAAAAAGTACCGTGAGAACGCGACCACCTCTCCAGGCAACCGCGCATAGCGCATAGCGCGTGGCCCATAGGTTCTCGACTTAGAAGAATATCAATTCGGTACCCATGCCAAGGCTGGGCTTAACGGTTCACCACCGCGTATTGGCTCCCCCGTAATCATCCTGTAGGGTCGTCCATCTGAGATATTATTGAATTCGCGCAATCCCAGTCAATCCCCTTCTTCACGTTCTTCCACCCCCGTAAATATCAACAGTTACGCGGAACACGCGCTCCGAGATCTACGAGCGAGCGATTTCTCAATGTATTTGTATCGCCGCATGTTGAGGATGTTGAGTGAGATTGGTTTGGAACCACTGGCCAGCGTGGCTCGCACGTTGCATTTTGATAGATTGAATCGGCCAGGCTGTTGTCCGCCCTCTCCCTGACATTTAAAAAAGGCAGGGGTGATTTTCCAGTTCCTCGCAAGAGAACAGTCAGCAGGCCGAGGACGAGGGCCAGGGGACAGGGCGGCCTTCTTGGAGCGGCCCATGGTGTCGTCGAACGTACCTATGGCAGCGATCATTGAGCCTACCAGCCCGAGCAAAGCAGAGATCTCAGAGATACTCGTAGCCCAGGTATGCGTGAGATGCTGAGGAACCGGGCACAGGCGGGCTCCCTCTTTCGCCTGGAGGTCAGCCGCCTGGTTGCGCAAGGAGCAGCTCAGCATCGGGCTTTTTGGAATGCGCCTTGACTTTGACCACAGATCGCATTCCAAATCATGTGCCAGAGGTCGGCGTGGGGCCGGCGTGCCTGGCGGCACCAGGCTGCGCTGCGGCGATGCCCGCGGACCACCGTGGCACTGTCAACACCTGCTCTCACTGGGGCCGAGCGCAGGACCTGCAGGAATCCCGTGAGCTCCGCTCGCAGGACACCCTGCGCCTGTCTAACCCCAGGAACCGTGCCATGCTCGGGAGCGGCCAAGAGAGGGGTGTCCAAGAGGGGGGGGGGTGCAAATCATGACCGGCGGCATGTGTACGGCCCAGCGGGGGGGGCCAGGGACGTGATGAAACAAGAAGAGGCGCCATGAGATCTGGGGAAATATCATGGCCCACGCCATGATATCCACCCCCCCCTAGTCATCACCCCCCTCTTTTCCGCCCCCGACATGCATGGCCTTGCGTACAGTGCCATGCTCGTCCAGGAAGCAGAACCCCCAACCGAACGCTGTGAGCCCAAGGACCCCGACCCCCGAACCGTCCGAGTACGCAAGCCCAGAGGCAGGAGGGAGGAGGGAGGAGGGAGGAGGAAGAGGGAGGAGGGAGGAGGGAGGAGGGGGGAGGGGGGAGGAGGGAGGGAGGAGGGAGGAGGGAGAATGGTGGAGGGTGGAGGGAGGATGGAGGAGGGAGGAAGGGTGGGTGGGGGAGGAGGAGGGGGAGGGGAGGAGGGAGGAAAGGGAGGAGGGGAGGGTGGGAGGGGGAAGTGGAAGGCCAACTTGGGACCTCTGGGTTTGGGCTGGGGTGGTCTGTGTGTGTGGGCTGGTGGGTGGTCGACCCGCGCGCGCGCGCCATAGGGGTGCCACGCCGACGGCAAGCCGCCGTCTGGTCCTGTCTTCCTCCTCCCTCTCCTCCTCCTCCCTGCTCCTCCTCCCTCTCCTCCTCCTCCTCCTCCCTCCTCCTCCTCCTCCTCCTCCTCCTCCTCCTCCTCCTCCTCCTCCTCCTCCTTCCTCCTCCGAATCCTCCTCCTCCTCCTCCTCCTGCTCCTCCTCCTGCTCCTCCTCCTCCTCCTCCTCCTCCACCTCCGCCTCGCCCTCCTCGCACGGGTCGCTCGTCCTCGTCCTTCTTCCTTCTCGTTCTGTCTGCTTCCTCCTCCACAGGACTCCCGAGCGCGCCCCCGCGACTTCCCGCAGGTCCGCCGCTTGACCTCGCCAGGCTCGGCCCAATGTCGGGCGTTGGCAGAACTGGGTTTAGTGGAACCTGGTTTAGTGACTTGTACCGGGGGCGCCCCCCCGCCCCGTTTCCACTCACCGGAACTGCCGTCACCCGAAAAACACCGGTTGCGGCAAACCTGGTTTAGTGAACCTGGCCAATTGAGGGGCCCCAGGGCCCTACCACTAACCGGGTCCCCCTACCCGGGGTGCTGGCTATACCTGACAGTGACCCCCAGGAGACCTCTGGGCCCTCGCGCGTGTCCGCAGGACCCCGCGCCGAGGGCGAAGGGCGCCCGCGGCCTCGATCTCGATGCGTCCCTCGCGGCGCGGGGAGGCCTAGGCGGGCGCCGCGCTCCTCCGAGACGAGCTCGATGATGGCGATGGCCCGCTCGGCCACGTCTATGTACTCGACCTCCGCCGAGGCTGGTGCTGCGCAGGCCCCTCTCCCCAGGCCGGCTGCGCGCGCAGGTGTGGCCCTGGGCAAGAGCGGCCGATGGCGCGCGCCTTGAGTGAAGGGACCCTGGGGCACACAGAGAAATAGACACAAATCACAGGATTCACCATATATATATATGTATATATATATATATATGTATGTCTATCCAAATATTTTCTATAGGTTTTTGTCTTCCCCCCAGTTCCCAGATTTTCCCATCTTTTCGGGGGGATCGACGATTCACTGTGTCTCTGTGTTTCCCCCTCCTGATCGAGGGTGGGCGCGAGGCGCCCCGGCCCCAGCGCAAGCAGTCTCCGCCGCTGCGGTGAGGCTCCGGGCTGCGCGCAGACAGCCCCCCCGAGGTACTCAAAATTTGAGCAGGGACCGACCGTCCCGGCATTCCTGTAGTCATACCACGGAATGCTCTTAGAACCCAAAAATGCTCTAAGAACAAAAGCAATGTTCTTAGAACATGAACCCGATGTGCTAAATCAAGAGGATCCCAGCCAGTCTTAGAACCCACAAAGGTTCGAATAACAAAAGCACTGTTCTTAGAACATAAATTCCGATGTGTCAAAACAAGAGGGTCCCAGCCAGAAATGTTCTAAGAGCATTTCGTGGGAGCCACAAAAAGTTCTTTCGGGAGCGGCCAAGAGGGGGGTGTCCAAGAGGGGGGGTGCAAATCATGACCGTCGGCATGTGCGCGGCCCAGCGGGGGGGCCAGGGACGTAATGAAACAAGAAGCGGCGCCAAGAGATCTGGGGAAATATCATGGCCCCCGCCATGATATCCCCCCCCCTAGTCATCACCCCCCTCTTTTCCGCCGAGTGTTAAAACAAGACGGTCCCAGCCAGAAATGTTCTAAGAACATCTCGTGGGAGCCACAAAAGGCTCTCAGAACATTGTTTTGGGGGGCTACTCTCCATCGCTCGGACGTCCATCTCCCATGCATTTTTCGGTTTCGTGCGTGTTTTTTTCTTCGATGGTCCAGGATCGTCCTCCCCAGACCCCCGACGTCATGATTTTTTCATGACGTCGACCCCCAGAGATCTCGACCCATTCCCAGGGACCGGCTTTGCATCCTGAGTTGTTTTTTGACGCTCCAGCGTAGGCCGCAAGAAACGAAAAACAGTCGGCCATGATTTTTTCATGACCTGAGGGCCCCCCGAGGCCGAAAATTGAGGAAAAACCGCCCGTCATGATTTTTTCATTGCTAGAGGGGGTCGCCGAGAAAAATGCACACGTCCGAGCGATGCCAGGGCCATAGGCGAGCCGGGGCGCTGCGCCGCTGCTTGACGAAGCCCCCCCGAGGGGGCCCGGCGAGGCAGGCGCCCGGCACGCCGAGCCGGGGGCCCAGATGCCCCCCCCCCCCTCCTCCTCCTCCTCCTCCTCCTCCTCCTCCCTCCATCCTCCTCCCATCCTCCTCCTCCTCCTCCTCCTCCTCCTCCTCCCTTCCTCCTGCCCTGCTCCTCCTCCTCCTCCTCCTCCCTCCTCCTCCTCCTCCTCCTCCTCCAAATCTCCTCCTCCTCCTCCTCCTCCTCCTCCTCCTCCTCCTCCTCCTCCTCCTCCTCGTCCCTCGTCCCTCGTCCCCCCTTTGCACGCCCCCCTCCCCCCCCCCCGGTCGAGCAGTGGACAAAAGCACGGCGGGAGGCTTTTTTTGGGGCGGCGCGCACAACCCAGACCCCCTCGAGAAATGAACAAAAAAATGGCGCGAGGCTTTTTTCTTGGCGGCGCGCACAACCCAGACCCCCTCGAGCAATGAAAAAATCACGACGGAAGGTTTTCTTTAATTTTCGGCCTCGGGGGGCCCTCACCGGGCCTCGGGAGCGTCAAAAAACGACTCGGGATGCAACGCCGGTCCCGGGGAATGGGTCGAGATCTCTGGGGGTCGACGTCATGAAAAAATCATGACGTCGGGGGTCTGGGAAGGGGGTGGGGGGAGGGGGCGCTTCTTAGAAGCCGGCGCCTGGCTCCTCAGAGGGCGCCGGGCCTGACATCTACAGATGTCAGGCCCGCGCCTTCTAAGAAGCAGGGGTGCTTCTAGGAAGCCCTCCCCCCTCCCCCACCCCCCTCTGCGCGCGGCTGATTTTTTTGTTCTGCATTCTCGGCCTCCTGGGGGCCCTCGCCGTGGCCTCGCGGGGCCGCAAACAAAAACGACTCCTGGGATGCAGGGCCGGTCCCGGGGGGAAGGGGTCGAGAGCTCTGGGGGTCGACGTTTACGGGAAAAATCATGGCGTCGGGGGGGTCTGGGGGGGAGGGGGGGGAGAGAGTCCCAGGGCATGGGTCGAGAACTCTGGGGCTCGACGTCGCGAAACAATCATGGCGTCGGGGGGGTCTGGGGGGAGGGGGGGGGGGGAGGGAGGGCCCGCGCGCAGCTCCATGCCGCAGGCCTCTCGCCGCGGCGACTCCAAGTCCCGTATGAAAATCGTCCCCCGGACCCGGTTTTTTCTCAGGCGCTTTTTTTGTGTAAAACTGTGGGGGCTCGGTTTATCGAGGCACTTTCTTTGGATTGGAGCTTAGGGGGTCCGGTTTGTTGAGGTGCCCCGTCAAGGAGGGGGGTCCAGAATATGAGGTCGCATTTGGAGGGGGGCCCAGTTATCTAGGGGGATCGATTTTGAAAGGATTTGGAGTCGTCCCAGCCAGCCTCCACAGGCTTCCCGAGCAGCCCGGGGCGGTCTCAAGACACCCCTGCTGATGGTTGAGGAAACTTTCCGGCACGAAGATGGCCTTCACTCCCAGCCCTTTCTTGAAGAGCAGTCCAGGTACAGAGATACGACAGCTCTACGCTAGAAAAGCGCTCCAGGAAAATCCACAGGGCCCAGTCCAGATTCTTGATTTTCTTAGGCGATATCTGGAGTCCATGAAAGTCGGCACGTCTTCTCATGATGTCTGTAGGGTGTGCCCTGGCGCCGCCTCTGGCGGCACCCCTGCGGCGATCTGCGCCCAAAGGTTAAGATGTTGCGACCGCCCTGGACTACCTGGACTACTCGGGGAGCATGGTGAGACCAGCCGGGACAACATGGGTGGGGCGGTCTGCGCGCAGCCGGAATCCTTACCACCGCCGCCGCTGTCGCTCCAAGCCCAGCGACCAGAGGGACCCCGGTAGGCCCGCGCCGAGGGCTCCTTCGGCGAAGGACGTGCACCCTGAGACCCGACGACGAGAACAACTTGCCAACCACGTGCAAAGTCACTGCCAGAGCCCTGGGCGCCTTCGTCCTGCTGCTTTCTAACCAGACTGGTCCGCGAGGGATCCTCGGGCAGGACACCACACGAGACCGCCCGACCCTGTCACGAGCGCGACGCCCTGATCTCCGCGAGCCCCGGCGCGGCCCAGCGCGCAGGCCGCCGCTGCAGCTCCCCGACGTCGATTCCCCAAACTTCTCGACCCCTTCTCCGGAACCGGTGTCCTATCCCGAATCGCTGTTTGCCGGCCCCGAGGCCCAGCGAGGGGGCCCCCGACGGCCGCAGAGGACGACAGAGAAACCTCCTGCCATGATTGGTGCCATGACGCGAGGGGGTCCCCAGGCCCCCTCGAGCAACGGAAACATCAGGACGGAAGGTTTTTCTGAATTTCCTGCCACGGGCGAGGAGGCGGAGAGGGCGTGGAGGGGGAGGACCCAGACCCCCTCGAGCAATGAAAAGATAAGCACGGAAGGTTTTTCCTAATTGTCGACCTCTGGGGGCCCTCGCCGGGCCTCGGGGGCGTCAAAATACGACTCAGGATGCAAGGCCGAAAAACGACTCGAGTGGAAAAATCATGACGGACAATTTTTCCTGATCTTCGGCCTCCGGGGGCCCTCGCCGGGCCTCGGGGGCGTCAAAAAACTACTCGGGATGCAGAGCCAGTCAGGGGGCAAGGGTCGGGACCCCTGGGGGTCGACGCAGTGAAAAAATCATTACGCCGGGGGTCTGAGGGGCGAGCGGGCGAGCTCCTCAAGTCTGCAGGCGAGCTACTGACAGGCGCGAGCTCAACAGAGACAAAAGATCGGCGGTCGCTGGAGGGGATCACCATGTGGCGGACGCGAGGGGATGGGGCGGCGGGCCTGCTCGCTACGCGGCGAGACCCCCCTGCCAACTCCTCGGCGCAGTGGATGCGGAGGGGCGGGGTAGGGGTGAGAGAGAGAGGGGGGAGGAGCAGGCTCGCTGGGGAGGCCAGGGGCAGGGGCGACCTCCTCACGGTGTGCGCGACCGACCCCCCCCTCCTTTCGGCTGCGGGCGGGGGAGCGTTCAGCAAGTTCGCACACAGCACCGGCAGGCCCCCGGCCGCCACGATGCTCCTCGGCGGTCCCCCCGCACCCCACGGAACTTCAGCTCGCGATGCTCCCACTCCTCCTCCTCCTCCTCCTCCTCCTCCTCCTCCTCCTCCTCCTCCTCCTCCTCCTCCTCCTCCTCCTCCTCCTCCTCCTCCTCCGCTCCCCCTTCTCCGCATCTCCTTTTTCCTCCTCCTCC